ATAGCAACAATATGGAATCCAAAAATGTAAACATGGTTACCACACATCTTAGAGTACCTTAATTCTCTCCTCTTCATTAGTGTCCATCATAGATACCATATACCTAATACAGAAGATAATTATGGTCGAAAAATGCAAGAGCTGAGAGTCTTATTGTCTAGCACATTAAACATTTAACAATCTCAGGAATGCTTGATGTGATGCTGAATCAAACAAACTTTAACAGGAAACAGAACCAAAAATTTCGAGAGCAACTTATATTGGCATTTGATAGGATAAAGAGAATATATTCAGAATTTTTTAGGCACTTTGAAATCCATTAGTCATTCAAAACTTGTGACAAATTAAAAAATGACTTTAAAACTAGAAAGCAATCTCTCCAAACAGCAGTTCTAATCCGAAAATCCACAAATTAAAGAATTTGAATCAACAGGATCCCAATTTCAAGTTTTCAACCAATGAAACTTAAAACATACTTTTAATCCCATCCACAACCTCTGTCTAACCATCCAAAGCAAAATGCAATTAAAAATTTTTAAAGGAAAGAAAAAACCCTCCACTCTCCTCAACAACTTGTAAAAGAAATGCTACAGTTTAAGGCTGGAAATAGAACCATTTTTATGGCTTCTTAACTCTTAACAACAGCCAACAATCTGATCCTTACCATATCAAAAATGTCTTAAGATTTGATCAATGGTTTGGTCTAGTTATGGCTGATTCAATATCACCCTAAATTATTCTTTACAAAAGATTTCACCCAAAATTGTTCTATGCTAGCAATTATTTTCAACGTAGGCAGCATCAGGGATCAAATTTATACTTTTAAGTTCACATAACAACACATATATTAGCAATACCAGAATAAACCAGCATAATCCTAGCCTAACTTCTAAAATCAAGTTCCTCATTGGATGATTCTCTTGGCATGCAAAACAAACATATCAAAACAAATAACCTTTTAATAGCGAGAAACAGAATAAAAACAATATGTTGCCTTGAATGGTTACGTGGTCTATAAAGAACAAGAATGTAAAGTAACATAGGACAAGAAACCATTTTCAAATTGATTTATGTTGCATTATCATTCTCTTAGGCAAGTAGTTTATAAGTAATGTAGGAAAGCCATCTATTTTCCATGTAAAGAATAAAGAATGAATGTAAAGTCTCACCAGCTTTCTCTACTTTTGTCTTTTGCTTCTTTCTCATATTTTTGGATCGTACAGTCATCAACCTGACCACTAAGGAAGAGTACCTGTCCTGCAATTGTTGACTTCCCAGCATCTAAAAACCAATTACAAAACAAAGCCAAAGCATCTCATTTGGATGAAAAGTCTAAGGAGATAGGACCATCGACATTTGTGATTAAAAAGAGCCAACATACCTCACTTTGATCAACAATTGTCCCTTATGATGCCAAATAAAACAAAGTTGCCAAATTGAAAAAGTTGAAACTTTAAACAAACTAAAAACACCTTTTCATAAAAATAACATATAATATCCAAGAAAGAAAGCTTGAAACTTCTCAAAAGTATGTAGATACTAAATAGAAACACGAAACCATAAGTTTTTTTTTTTTTCTTTTCTACCATAAGATTTTAACTTAAGATTTTGAAAGTCTTTAATCATTCAAGCATGTGTACAATATGTTCTAGGAAACAATTAACACAGTCAACTCCACAATGGATCTTAGAAAATGCCAAACCATTAAATTATTTCTATGTGGCATCTAGTCAACCAATCCCTGAACTCAAACTAAAAAGCTAATAAACAACAATGTGAAACACATTTCTCCCTTTTATTTGGCCTTTGAACATTCCAGTTGATAAAGAATAACAAAGGACATAAAAATGAAAAACCCCCACTTTTAATTTAAACAATAAGTAGAAAAATCTACCAACATGACCAATGAACACAACATTCAAGTGGCGTTTCTTTTTTTTTTCCACCTCCTCAAGAACTTCAACATCTTCAAGAGCTGGTGCTTCCTCATCTTTCACTGCACATCCAAACCAAAACATAAGAACGAGACAATGATAATTGGATTGTAGAAGTAGAAAATATAATACATATTACCGCAGTTTGCAGTGTTTATGTATTTTGGAAGAGAAGGAAGGGAAGGAACCTTTTGGTTCAACCTTGTCTTGCTGAGAGACTGTACTATCCTTTGTCCCTGAAAAGGAAAGAAAAAGAGTAGAACGAAATAAAGGGAAAAAAGCACCACCAATATGCACTTTTAGTTAAAAAAAAAAAAATTATCAAGAATGAGGAAAATAAAATAGAAAAATAAAATAGGTACAAATATCTAAATGGTTAATTTTTATTGTAGCTATTATGATGGAAGCAGCAAAACCAAATTTCACTCTTAAATCTTATTTCAGGCAGAAGCCAGAAGCACTATATCTATATTATATGCAGTTGGTAAACAAGCACTGGCAGTGATCGCAATGGTGATGAATGAGCTGCCACCACTTGGGCACCAATAGATAATCTTAGAAGGAAATTGGTAGACTAATATTGTAAAACACACAACAAAAACCACAAAGACTTTGATTAATTCTTGTCAAAAAAGAATTACTACATCAACCTAATCCAAATAGATGCCACCAGAAAAAACTAATTAGCACCTTGCACCTTCCCTCTAAAGTCTAACCCTTTGCCCTCTGTGCGTGAAGGTCCATAAGGTGACTTCTTTTGGTCGTCCCATCAATAACAAATTCTACTCTTAGGACAACCAAATTAGTACCTGAACCAATTCCAGAGCCGACCTATTTATCAGCATATATGGCATTGGATAAGCAGTAAACACATAGACATAATATAACCACAAAAAAACGATAATCTAAGACAAATAAATAGCTCATGCTGAAATGCATCATCTCTCAGCCAGCTAACCCAATCCGTGATACAAAAATCAATCCAAAGATACTGTTTTGGTAAAGACTCTAGGCAAGATGCTGCCCCTTTCAAACTAGCCTCAGAATACCAATGACTCTCTCTCTTTCTTTTTTTTTTCCAAAAATAGCCTTCTCATCCTTAAATATACATCTTTGGGAAAAAGAAAAAACATAAAAAAAAATGGAATTTTGTATCTGAAAAATGAATTTCAGTCCAAAGAATGCCCGGACCCATAACATCGCGAAACGAAAGAACATCGGATTAAAAAAGTTAAGAAGAAATCAACTGGATCAACGTAAAGGAACCTGAGAAAGACACAGAAGAACCGGCTATTCACGAAAGGATATCGGACTGATCGCCGGCGGGATCGTAATGCAGGGCGAACTTGAGATTGGAAGCTTCGGCAGGCGCCACTAGATTTGGGGAGAAAAAGCTACTAATTTTGTCTTTTTCAAAAAAAAAATTTTAAGATGGTATCTTTTTAAAATTTTAAATCAAATATAAATTTTTATTTTTTTCACTTAAAAATATAAATTTTATTTATTTTATTTAAAATTACTATTTATCACGTTCTATTCGTTACTTAATAAATTTTGAAAGGAAAATGATATTTATATAATTTTTTTTATCTTATCTTTTTATATAATTTAACGTGTTATTAAAATAATTAATTTTTTTAATTCATATAAAACTTATGATATTAAATGTATTCACTCATTTAATGACATGTAAAAATTGTATAAAAACATGAGATAAAAAGGTTGTATCAATAGCACCACCTAATTTTTAAATAAAAAATTACAAAATTAAATCCAACTTTTCTCAATTTGTCCCCCCAATTTGTCGCCTATTTTCAAAAATAAAATGAGTTTGTCAGTAATTTCTCCACAATTGTTTTAAATCTTTTGTTACGCTAAAGCAAGTGCATAATATTCCATTTCATACTTGGTTGCTGTCGAATTTGGATGCTCTTCCAAATCGATAAAGTTCCATTATGTTTTTCTCTATTCTGTGTTTGTTGGGATCCCCTCTGTGTTTGCCTGGGTATGATTCTAATTTTTTTTTTTTATCTTTTCTTTCCTCTCTTTGCCGCCTTTCTCAAAGATGGATGAATGATGATTCGATTTCACAACTAATTTTGTGTCTTCTGCAGTTAGTTGAATTTTGTTTCTTTGCATTTGTTATGTTGGCACCAAACATGATGGAATTGATAAAGAGCAAGAATTAGAAAGAGTCCTTGCTCATCCATTGAGAGAAGAGGAGAAGGATTTTGGCATGCTTGTGCTTCGATTGGGAGAGGAAGAAGAGAGTGTGTTTTACATGGGTTGAGTTTATGGTCAGAAAAATGAAACGCACTGTTTTATTTGGGATGCAATAGTAATTTTCTTTTGTCACATCTTGTTTTTTCATTTTTTAATTTAATATTTTCTTTATTTTAAAATAACTATTTTTTT